TTTGTGTAGTATGCTTTGAACTCAGGAAGTATGAGTCCTCCTACTTCATTCTTCTTCAAGATTGCTGTAGCTATTCACAGTCCCTTGCTGTTCCAGATAAGTTTGAGAATCGACTTTTGAATTTCTGCAAAGAAGGCTATTAGAAATTTGGTGGGGATTGCATTGAATCTATAGATAACATTGAGTAGTGTTGATGTCTTAACATAAGACTTCCAACCCATGAATACAGAATGTCCTTCCATTTATTTAGCCTTTTTCTGATTTCTTCAATAATGTTAGTTTCCGTGTACGAGCCTTTCGCCTTTCTGGTTACATTTACTCTTAGGTACTTAATTGTTTTAGTTGCTGTTGTTAATGGTAATGTTTCCTTAATAACCTTTTCAGTTTGCTCATTGCTGATGTATACAAAACTGATTTTTGTGTGTTGATCTTATACCATGCCATTTTACTAAATTCATTTATTAGGTTCTGATACCTTTTTTGTAGAATTTTTTTTTTTATATGGGATCATGTGATCTGCAAAAAGGCGTAGTTTTACTTCCTCCTTTTCTATTTGGGTACCTTTTATTTATTTTTCTAGCCTAATTACTCTAGGGAGGACTTCCAGAATGATGTTGAATAGCAGTGGTGAGAGTGTACATCTTGTTCTGGATCTTAATTAGAAGGCTCTCAGTCTTTCTCTAATGAGTATGTTAGCTATAGGTTTTTTATAAATGCTATGTGTTATATTGAAGACTTTCCCTTCTCTTTCTATCTTGTTGAGTATTTCTATCATGAGAGGGTGTTGGATTTTGTCAAATGCCTTTTCTGCATTGATTGAGAGGATCATGTAATTTTCCTTATTCTGTTAATGTCCAGTATTATGTTGGTTGATTTTCTGTTGTTGAACTAACTTTGCATTCCTGAGATAAATCTACTTGATCATGGTGTAAAATCCTTTTACTATATTTTTGGGTTCAGTTTACTAATATTTTGTTAAGTATTTTTGCATCTATATTCATGAAGGATATTGCTCTGTGATTTTCTTGTGTTGTCGTGTGCCCTTGTTATCAAGGTAATGCTCGCCCCATAGAATGAGTTAAGAAGTGTTCCTTTTATTTATTTATTTATTGAAAAGTTTAAGAAGGATTGGGGTCACTTTTATAAATGTTTCATAGAATTCCCCAGTGAAGCTATCTGGTCCAGGACTTTGTTTTTCTTTTTTTGCTGGGAGATTGTTAAATACTGATCCAGTTTCTTTACTGGTTATGGGTCTGTTGGGATTCATTCTTTCTTTTGAGTCAATGTAGGGAGTTTGTGTTTCAAGAAACTTGTCCATTTCCTCTAAATTATCTAATTTGTTAGTGTACAACTGTCTGTAGTATTCTCTTACAGTCCTTTTTTATTTCTGTAGGGTCAGTTGTATTGTCCTTACTTTCATTTCTAATTTTAGATATTTGCATCTTTTCTCTGCCAGTTTGGCCAAAGTTTTGTCGATTTTATTGATCTTTTCAAAAAAACCAACTTCTGGTTTTATTGATTCTATTATTTTTAAATCCTCTATTTCATTTATTTCTGTTCTGATCCTTATTATTTATTTTCTTCTGGTAGCCTTAGGTTTAAATGGCTTTTTTCTAGTTCCTCAAGTTATACAGGTGGATTATTAATTTGGTATCTTTTAAAATATAGGTGTTTATTGCTATAAATAGGAGCTCTGGTGGTATAGTGCCTAAGGCATTTGACTGCTAACCAGCGGGCTGGCAGTTCAAACCCATCAGCCAATCGTCAGAAAGAAGATTGGGCAGTCTATTTCTGTAATGATACCTCCTCGGAAACATATGGAGGGGTCACTGTGAGTGGCATCTGACTCGATGGTAGTGAGTTAGTTTTTTAGTTTGTTGCTATAAATTTTCCTCTGACTACTGCCTTTACTGTATCTAGTGAGTTTTGGTACGTTGTGTTCTAATCTTTTTAAAGGTACTGAGATTTGCTTTGTGTCCTAAGGTGTGGTCTGTCTTGGAGAATGTCCCATGTGTACTGAAGGAGAATGTGTATCTAGCTGTTGTTGGATCGTGTGTTCTGTAATTTCTGTTAGGTCTAGTTGGTTAATAGTGTTGTTCAAGTCTTCTGTTTTTTATTGCTCTTTCTAGTTCTATCTATTATCAAAAGTGATGTATTAAGTCTCCCACTATTTTCATAGACCTGTTTATTTCTCACTTTGAATTCTGTCAGTGTTTGCTTTATAAATTTTGGGGCTCTGAGATTGGAATTGTTTCTTTCCACGAGGCCCTTCTGTCTGTTTCACTCGGTTGGGTCCTGATGTGAGTTCCCCAGCAGGTGATTTCTAGGTCACTCTTTTTGGGGGAGAATTGGCCAGAAGACTTGGATAACTTTGAATTTAATATTGCCAGCGAATGTCAAATCATTGCCTATTGCACTTTTCCACCCGTTAGACTTTTGTGTTTTACAAGTTACAGACATAATACATGTTTATTATGGAAAAATGTGGAAAAAATAGAAATGTATAAAGAATTGAAAAGCACAATTCCTTTTCTTCTTTGGTATTAGTGAATGGTTCAGAAAAGCAGTTTCATGCTGCCAGTGCCCTGGTAGCCAGAACTCACCAGGAGCAGACTGGTAGTCAAGCATTGTTGAGTGGGTTTACTGGTTGCCTTGAAGAACACACACCATGGGAAACTTGGGGGGGGGGGCATCTTAGAGGGGAGGAAGGATTTACTATAGGATTTGGGATTGTGTTGGGGGAGGGTTCAGTGAAGTGGGGCTTTCTTTTGTACTGCTTACTGTCAGAAAGCAGAGGTAATTCTGGGATTAGGTGTGTTAATAGTTCCTATCTTGAAGGCTTGACGGATGTTGTTATAGTTGCCATTGAGTCGCTTCTGACTCATGGTGACCCTTGTGTGTGCAGAGCAGAATCGCTCCACATGGTTTTTAAGGTTGTGACCATTCAGAAGCAGATCGCCAGGGCTGTCTTCCGAGGCTCCTCTGAGTGAGTTTGAACCACCAGCCTTTCATCACCCAGGAAGGAACTCCTCCAGGAAGATTTGACCAAGGCTAAATTAAAGCTGTTCTTGGTGAAGAAGTAGCAGTCATTCATATCAAGATAGGGGGATGTTTGTGTTTTGAACAGTGTTGTTTTTGCCCGTGTGCAGGCTTGAATGGGAAAGGAGCCCTAGTGACACAGTGGTCAAGCACTCATCTCTTAACCAAATGGTCGGTAGTTGAACCAACCAGCCACTCCACAGAAGAGAGATCTGTTTTAAAGATTACAGCCTTAGAAACCCTATGGGGCAGTTTTACTCTGCTCTGTAGGGTCACTGTTAGTCAGAACCAACTCGACAGAAATAGGTGCAGACATAGGGAGAGTTGATTATCGAGTGGTCTTATCTGTCTTAATCAATCGTAGTTACAGAGCCTTGTCTGGTGGTGATGTTCTGGGAAGTCCTTTCTGTTCATTGGGAATATCAAGGCCTAGATCCTGGCTGTCAGGGAGTGCTTTTCTCTTTCCCAGTGCTGGCCCAGAATCTTAACTAAGATTCAGCATACTCCAGTTCATTTTCTCCAGGTATAGAGTTCTAGCTATTCAAACAGTGTTTTTGAGTACATACATATGTACCAGGTACTAATCCCCTTCCCTAGGGCCTGCTTCAGTCAGACACTATGTCCATTTCTTTGGTCCACATGAAAGCTGGCAGTGCTGCTAGGGAGACCCTCATAGAGTTGCTGTTTTGGACAGCACAAGTACAGGAAGTCTCAAGTTCTCAGTAACTTGCTTCCAAGAGTTTTGAAGTCTATTGTTTAGTCTTCACACACACTTTTTCTTCAATGAACGTGTTTTAGCCTTGTGGGATCCATATGACTCCACAAAGGCTTACTTCATCTATAATGCAGTTTAGAGCGGCACTTTTAGCTATTCAATGGCAAATGGCAGTAAGGGAACTTGAAAAGATTTGGACAGTGCTGCTTTAGGAATCAGCTGAGGACTTTCTTCATATGAGTGTTGGGTAGAAAGGAAGTCCTTGTGATGCAGAGAATTAGTGGCAAACTCATGGTCACAGGGTCAACAGGCAAGGCTGGTATAGGAGGCTATCTAAGGGGGGTAGAGCACACGGGAGCACATACCCCTCTCCAGGGGCCTGCCAGTACCTCAGCTCCCCCACCAATTATTGCCTTGCTGGCCCACTTTGACCTCTGGGTTTTGTTTTGTTTACTGGGTTCTTAATTGACATCATCATTAATTAATTAGAAAACAATAGCAACAATGAGAATAGTAACAAAAAGATTCCGTTCATAATAGTGACAAAAACTAGTTTCCAAAAATAAGCCTCAAGCCTCATAGCGACCCCATGTGACCGGGTAGAACTGTCTTATAGCATTTTTTCTTTCTTTCTTTTTTTTTTTTTTTAAGGCTCTTCATTGGATTTGGGTGAAAGTTTACAGAGCAACTTTGTTTTCCATTCAACAGTTCATACACATTTTGTTTGTAGTCCCTTCCACTCCTCTCAGTGTAACAGCTCTCTTCATACTCCTCCCTGTGATTCACCATTTCCCTGTGTCCTTCTTAACTATGCATTCCTGCCTTCCGAGGTCCTCCCTGTGCAGATGCTGCCCTTCTGATGGCCCATGGTTGATTGTTTTAAGGAGTGCACCTCCCTGGTGTAATTGTTCACCTTGTAGGCCTGTCTGTTACTTGGCTGAAGGTTAAGCCATGGGAGTGAGTTCAGTTCCAGACCTGAATGTTGACTAGAGGCCATAGTCTCAGGGGGCTTTACCAGTCTGTACTGGACCAGAAAGCCTGGTCTTTTTTTATTGGCCTCTGATTTTAACAAAAACCAGAACTCGAACTATTTCTGTGATATTGCCTGAGTTATCAATTTGGGAAATAAACTTTAAATTTTAAATGGAGTGTGTATGTGGACCAAGCAAAAGACCAGTTTCAGCCCATGGGTGGAAAGGGGTAAACCAAGCCTGGGATGGTGACTCTGTCTCTTCTCTGCCTGCAGGAAGAGATGTCAGGAGAAAGTGTGGTGAGCTCAGCGGTGCCTGCAGCTGCTACCCGCACCACTTCCTTCAAGGGCACCAGCCCTAGCTCCAAGTATGTGAAACTGAACGTGGGTGGGGCCCTCTACTACACCACCATGCAGACGCTGACCAAGCAGGACACCATGTTGAAAGCCATGTTCAGTGGGCGCATGGAGGTGCTCACCGACAGTGAAGGTAAGCCCATCCTCGCCACATGCCTGCCTCTGGTTGTGAGCTCTATACTGTACCAAGTGCTCGGGACACACCTGTGGTAGAGAACTTCAGTCAAGTTCAGAGGACAAGCACTGAGTGAGCAGTTGCACACACAGGTGTGGGATTCCAGTTGTGTTCAGCGTGCAGAGCCCCGAGAATGTGCAGCAGAGAGAACACGGCCAGTCTGGGAAGGGGGGGTGGTCAAGGGGAACTTCCTGAGGAAGGGTCATTTAAGCTGATCTGTGAAGTTCTGTAGAAGTCACCAGACGTGGTCTCTTGTAGTCTTCACTGTGTTGTTGATTTACTTTGTGACTTTGACAGAATCCCTTACCCTCTCCAGGCATCAACTTACTTACCTGTAATGTGAATGTAATGTGAAAGCTGGACTAGTTGTTGACCTAGTTGGTTCCTTTCCACTTCTCTCTGCTAGGATTCTGTGACCTTAGTCTTCTTGCGACGTAGTCCTGACAAAGACACAGACTAGATTTGAATCTCAGTGCCCCGTTTAGTATCTGATGATCCTGACCAAGTTGCTTAACCTTTTGATGTTTCATTATCCTCATGTGGTAAAATGGGGATAATGATACCCACCTCCTAGAGTTGTTGGCACATTGTAATTCAATACTTTTATTTTTTTTGTGTGAGGTGTGGGGTAGGAGGTGGAAAGAAGGCATTTTAGTGACAGGTTAATTGTTTGAAGTGATCTTGACATAACTACTTCCTATTCACCTGGAACCATGGACTGCCAGAAGAACTAACAGATCTGTCCTAGAAGAGGACAGCTAGAATGAGCCTTGGAAGTGAGAATGGCCAGACTTCATCTCACCTACTTTGATCATGTTGTCAGAAGGGACCATTTCCTAGAGAAGGATATTGTGCTTGATAAAGTGGAGGGTCAGCGGAAAAGGGGAAGGCCCTTAACAAGATGGATTGACAAAGTGGCTGCAATGATGGGCTCAGGTATTAGCAAAGATTGTGAGGCTGGTGCAGCACCAGCCGGTATTTTGTTCTGTTGTACATAGGGTCACTATGAGTCAGAGCTGACTTGATGGCATCTAACCACCACCACCACCCTCCTGGAACAACCAAAGAGTACCTGGCAAAGGGATATACCTTTACTTGGCTGGATTTATGGGGCAGGTAACATAAGGTTTAAAAAGTCTGGTCCTTCAGTCCTTGCCTGAGGTGGTTTAAGACCAGGTCAGTTCACAGGCTGGCTTGACCCTGCTCTGTCTGTTTCTGAAACTTGGCCTTCTGTGCTGGTGCCCCTGTGCAGTGTAGTAAATTACTTTGTGTGGCTTTTCTACCCATAAGTCTTTGTAAACTCCAAGGTGGGATTTGCTATGAGCAACTGAGGAGCTCCTGATTGCTGAAGGTGTCCACCTGGAGTATTTCTGTTGGGAGTGGCACAAAACAATGTTCTAGGAGGTGCCCACTCTCTCTCAGGTGC